GGCTAGTTTTCAAGTGTGGTTTGCTTGTTTTACTTATAGTGTTTACACCAAGGTGCTGGGTTACAACTTCAGAAGGACAAATGGAGAGTAGTCATGTGTCAGTGGCCTCAGCTCCAAGTTTCAGTGGAGAGTGGCAGCTGAAGTCACCCACAGCTGTCACTTGGGATTCTGGTAATGAATTCCAGGGCCTACATCATGAAGATATTCAACTCTACCAAAGCTGCTTTTTAATTTCTTAGACAGAAAATTGCCTCAACTCCCTCCAACCTCCTGCCCACCCCCTACCTTAAGAAGCCTCCAGCCCTGTCCCAGTTAGAGGTCAGAAGGAAAGCAGTCATAATCTGGGGCAATGATTCCCATGACAAAGACACATCTCTCTTGACTCACCCAAAGGAACAAAAGGCTTGGAGGGCATGCTGGGCTTGGAGATGCCCACGGCATTGACTGCAAAGATGCGGACCTCATAGGCCACGCCTTCAATCATCTTCTTGGGCTCAAAAGTTGTTTCTTTGCAGAGATCAAAATTCAGTCTCATCCACCTGGAGCTTTGTTTCTTTTTCCTCTCAATAAAGTATCCTGCAGGTACACAAAATGATAACAGGTTTTTCCTTGGCCTCCAAAATTAAACTCTGTCAGATATTAGAAGTTCTTAAAACTTTGCATGTTCTCTGTACTGTAAGGGTAATAGTCATATGTGTATGTATTTTTAACCCACCTTATCCCATCAGTTGTTTGAGAGAGATTATAGTGAATATTGATATTACCTAACACCATAATATATAGAAAAAAACGAATAAGAGGACTAGAAAAAATTATATTTTACTAGGAAGAGGAGAAAAATGGATCACAGATATGTAGGCAATTGCTACTAAACAAACAGCCACTATAGTTGAGCAATACAGACAGAGCCAATATAGTTGACTCTCAGTCCCAGTAATGAAGACAATGGAGAAATGACCAGTTTTGTGAGCCTCATTATTAGCAAGGAGAGAAAACTTTCGTGCCATAGGGGAAGCAAATTCTTCAAAGTATTTAACTCTAAAAGAAATTTTTTCATAGACATAACCCTATGGAACAAGACATTTGCTGAGTAAAACAGTGTAAGTTAGACTTATAGTTGTTTTAAAATTAGATATTGAGTATAAATGTCAAACAAAAAAAGAGAAGAGGCAATCAGATGATATTCATCAGAGCCATTTAAATCTCAAGTAGTTACAGAGCATCCTAAAATATGCATATTTCGAGTCGAATGAATATTTAAAGTCACAGCATATTAAGATTTTTTCTAAATGCAATAATTTTTAATGTACTCTGTATTAATAGGCATAAAGAGTACACCAACTGCACTCACTGGTGCACAGACTGACCAACATGCAGTTACCTAAGATTGGAGACCCTCCATCATAGACAGGAGGCTCCCAATTCATGATACACCAATCATCTCCCACATCCGTCACGTTCGGTGCCACTGGAGGGTCGGGGATGTCTGTAGCAGACAGAAAATAGGACAGAATAAAATAAAATAAGGAAGAGAGAGTGCAAAGAAAAATGTTAATGGAAAAATATGTTGTTTGTTTTAAAATTTATTGAAACATTGCACATATTTATGGGGTACAGAGTTACATTTCAATACATGTATTCAATATGTGAAGATCTATTCAGGGTAATTAGCATATTCATCATTGCAAAACGTAATCATTTCTTTGTGCTGTGCACATTTGATCTCCTCTCTTCTAGCCATTTGGTAACATGCAGTAAATCATTGATAATTATGGATTCCTGGGTTGACTGTACATCAATAGGACTTATTTTTCCTGTCTAGCTGTAATTTTATGTCCATTAATCAGCCTCTCACTTTCCCCCTCCCCTTTCCCATCTCTAGTAACCACAGTTCTTCTCTATCCTTTTAACAGTTCAACTTATTATTATTATTATTTATTGTTTGTTGTGTTTTGTTCTGTTTTTAGCTTTGACATATAAGTGAGAACATGCGGTATTTCTCTTTCTGTACTTGGTTTATTTCTCTTAACATAATTTTCTCCAAACTCATCCATGTTGCTGAAAATGGCAGAATTTCATTCTTTT